CAGAGAATGAGGTTTAGTAGAATAAATATTGCCCAGCCTGGGGTTGGCAAGGCCAGATGCTCCCTCTGCTGGTAATCACCGACCTGCAGTTATTTCCTAGTCTAGGGAAGACTTGATGAGAGCCCTCAGGCTGTGTGAGGAAGCTGGCCAGGGGTTGAAGTCTAGAAGACCTGTGGACTGTGTGTTTTGCAGTACAAGGCTGCTGGCTAGTTCTTCTAGTGTGGCCTCTCAGTTGGCCAGAAGGTAGAGATCTGCATACTGGCTGCTGTGAGCCCACCCACATTCTTTGTTTCTGTTTCCCTTAGGATGAGCCTTCTACAGAAGGGTCCTAGAATGGTGGGAAATCTGAATACCTATCTTCAACACTTTTACCACTGTAGAAACTTTGGGTCTCTGGGAATTCTCTGTGTGGCTTGGGGTGGTCAAAGAGAACCATTCCTCTTATCTTTCAGTTGTGACTTTTCAGAGTTCTCTGGTTCAGTGGGGGTGTCTCAGCCTCATTCCTGAGTTCTGGAGTATTCATGACAGTATTCTTGCCTGTGAAGAGTTGCTGATTGGATTTCTGTGGTGGGAACAGTGGAGTTGAAGTTGGTCCTATTCCACCATGTTGTTGGTGTCACTGACCTTATTTTTTTGTTGCATTGGAAATCAGTCCACTTTGACTCTAAGTGCTTCAGCATGTATATTATTAATTAAAATTAAATATTTGTTCACAGTTATTTTAAAGATGAAACTTTCAGACAGGAAATGAACAAATCTTTATTCGGTGAATTTTGACAAACTCTTATCATGATACAAAATATTATTATTAACACAAAAGAGAAAGTTCTATTTCTCTCTTTATGGAAAAGTTCTCCTTCTCTCTTTATGGAAAATTATAATCATTAACACATATTAATTGTACAAGTTTATGGGTTTCATTGTGATATTTCCATTCATGCATATATTGTTCTTTGATCATGATCACCCTCCCTTCTACCATCTATTAACAGAACCCCTCCCCTCTTTTCCCAGGAACAACCAAGGTTCTAATTATTTTCTAACATAGATTAGTTTTACCAATTTTATAACTTCATATGAATGGATTAATACACTATGGAATAATACACTACATAGGCCCAAGTATATTTTACAAGCTTGTTAGGTGCAGCCAGGAATGAGAACCATTGCCTTACTAACTTCTCACTGCATGGAGAAGCCTCTTTCCACAATTGTACAATATTTAAACATTTTTTTCCTTCCTTCTTACTTCTTTCTTTGTTTTTACTTTGTTGTAGTACTGGAGATTGAACCCAGGACCTTGCAAATACTAGGCAGACATTCTGTCTCTGAACTATACACCCAGCCCTTTTTTATTTTATTTTGAGACAGTGTCTTGCTAAGTTGC